GTTCTAATCTTAGGACAGTTCCATCACAATCTTTCGGCATGCCAATCATTTCCTGTGGAACATCTTCTGTTTCTATTTTCTGAAGCTTCGCTATTGTTCTGCCATAGGAAAGGGATCCAGAATTTTCCAATTCTAAACGGGGTCAAGATACAGCTAACACCGAAAAAGCTGTCTTTCTAACTAAACTCTGGCTACAGCTGTCAAACGACATAAGGCTTATTTAATGCAATGGTTTGCCACATGGAGGATAACTGCCCCACGTAGCTGAATGAGCTGAATCACAATTCATCCAGTTGTTAGATTCTTGAGTAATTGTGCCTGTTTCTTTCATTGGGGGAGGGGGGGAGGGATGTTTGCAAAAGTCTTCGAGATTTTCCGTTGACGTGACTTCCTTTTCTCACTGGAACAGTTCGATCTACGGCGCCATGACAAATTCCATCTCCCGTTCAAAAGCCGTGTTGTGTTACGGGATTCCTCTACACAACCCTTGTCAGATGTTGCATGACTTTTATGAATAGTCTTTACCTAACACTTGTGTAAAAGACCTGGGTCTTTTAAAGATGAGAAGAAAGGGAGGGGAGGGAGGGAGGAGGAGAGGGAGAGGAGAAGAAAGGAAAGGAGAGGAAAGGAGGGGAAGGGAAGGGACAAAAAGGGAAGGGACAAAAAAGGGAAGGGAAGGGGAGGGGAGGGGAGGGGAGGAGAGGAGGAGGAGAGGAGGAGAGGAGAGGAGGAGGAGAGGAGAGGAGAGGAGAGGAGAGGAGAGGAAAGGAAAGGAAAGGAAAGGAAAGGAAAAAGAAAAGGAAAGGAAAGGAAAAGGAAAGGAAAGGAAATACCTTATTTCAGGGTTCAAAAAAATATAAGACAGGGTCTTATTTTCGGGAAAACATGGTATCTATCTATCTATCTATCTATCTATCTATCTATCTATCTATCTATCTATCTTCTCTCATCTGTCTATATATCCATCCATCCATCCATCCATCCACCCTGTTTTCCCCAAAATAAGACATCCCCTGATAATAAGCCCAATTAGGCTTTTGAGCGCATGGCAATAAGGCCAAGCACTTATTTCAGGGTTCAAAAAAACATAAGACAGGGTCTTATTTTGGGGGAAACACGGTACTTCCACCTTTTTTTAAAAAAATTTTTTTTGATTTATATGCCACCCTTCTCCGGAGAATCAGGGCGGCTTACAATGCGTTAAGCAATAGCTTTCATACTTTTGTAAATTTATACAAAGTCAGCTTATTGCCCCCACAATCTGGGTCCTCATTTTACCTACCTTAGAAAGGATGGAAGGCTGAGTCAACCTTGAGCCTGGTGAGATTTGAACTTGCAGTAATTGCAGGCAGCAGATGTAAGTGGATGTTAATAACAGTGCTTTAGTCTGCTGAGCCACCAGAGCTCTTATTAAGACACCTTAAAAAAGAGTCTTTTGGTTGGAAAACGCCTTTGACACAACCATATCAACACAATACAAAATTCTCATCGCTCTGCTTCTCTCTCTCTCTCTCTCTCTTTCATTTTTTAAATAGTTTCCCCCTTTTTTATATACTTTCCTGCAGCTGCCTCGTCTCCCAAAGCAACCTGCCTTTGCTTTTCTCTCCTTCACACTCACTAGCTCTCTGCATGTCGTCCACCGAATGGTTGAGAGGGTTATTTTATTGATCCTTTTTTTTTTTGGTGCTGTTTATTTTCTTAAGTGGAAAAAGAAAAAAAGAAAAGAAAACATCCTTATACGTGCCAAGGGAAAAAGAAACCAACTAGCTTTCCCTAATTTTGCACTCAAGTTCCAGTAATAAGGCTGATAGGTATGAAATCACTCACAGCATCAGAAAAATAAGCCCTTTAGGATGGTCTCCACAAATGGACTGTAACAAATGCTGGAGAGTCAGCAGGGAAAAAGGACTGTCACACTTTCTTCCCTGTGCATCAACCTTCACTTGTGAGATTTTGGACAAGATGTCTACCGGCCTCATTCTCCAAAAACAGTTTTTGGTTCTTGACTTCCTCTTGATAAGACAGCCTCTTCCTCTCAATCCTTCCTGATTCACCCAAAGGTGCTGTCAACTTGCAAAGCATCCCTGACTTGCTCTCAAGTTGCCGTAGGCAAGGGGGGGTGGGATGGAGAAACCGATGACGAAGCAACACGGTAGCCACAGACAGGAGCACATTCCAGACATATCTTTCTCAAGGCTGTCTCCCAGGGTTACCAACAGCGGCCGGAGGGGAGTGCTCTGTACAACCCGAGAAATTGCTCTGTTGGAATGTGATTGATGACACACCCTTGGGGGGGGGAGGGAAACAGGGTCATGATTGGGCCGTAAATTATGTGGGGTCAGAGTTGGCTTGATTTGGGTAGGTACTAACATGGAGCTCCTAATAACTGGATTTCTTTTGAAGCTTGGCTCAAGGCTCATGAATTAATTAGGTAATCCATCAAAACCCTGACAGGTGCTTTTTGTTTTTGCTTGAAGACGTTTCGCTTCTCATCCAAGGAACATCTTTAGTTTTGACTGTCCTTGAAGATGTTTCACTTCTCATCGAAGAAGCATCTTCAGTTCACGCAGACCATGTAAACAAGTTCTCTTTGTTATGGGAACCATCTGCCTTCCTCTTCACACCTGTTAAGATGTCCTTGAGAAGTTTCCAGACTCTCACAAGCCTCAGTGGAGAAGTTTCTCCAACTAACCCATTTGTAATCAAAACTTCCCTCTCTTACTCTAATGCCAAGTTGAAATGTAGCCGCCAATGTTTCACTCTTCATCCAAGAAATGTCTTCAGTTCTGATTCTCCTTGAAGATGTTTCACTTCTCATCCAAGAAGCTTCTTCGGTTTTGACTGTCCTTAAAGATGTTTCCTTTCTCATCCAAGAAGCTTCTTCAGATCTTCAGTTTCTTCTTCAGAACTGAGGAAGCTTCTTGGATGAGAAGCGAAATGTCTTCAAGGAAAAACAAAGTCCAGTTGCTTCTTGAAAAAACACTTTTGGGACAACATGACCTGGGTGACTGAGAATCTCCACAAACGCCTTCCTGATTAAGTGATCTCTCAAATGTATGAAACATACCTAGCAGTGTCCTTTCCTATTATCCTCTCCTGTATAGCAAAACAAAGGTTAAAACCAACATGCTAATCTTGTGTAAATATTAGGGGGGGTTTGCCCCCTGATGTCAGCGTTCCAAATTATGATCTCCTTCAGCGCTGACATGAATGAATGAAAGAGGGAGAAGCTTTGCTTTAATGCTGAGATGAACTTTTACCTAGTTCCCTGCTCTTCAGTAGATAGCGTTACCTGGGTGACAGAGGGAGGGGGAAATTCCTGTGAAAAGAAAGTGCTTGGGACGAAGAGATGGATCTGCACGATGGCCAATGAGACATTGGGGTTGAAGAACGGAAAGGGAGGGGTTTGGAAGGAGGTGCCAGTCTTGGCTGCACCCAGAGTTCAGGGGTGTCGTTCTCCTATTCTTAAATAAAAAAAAAGGTTCATCAGAGACCTTGCGTTTGAGAATGAAGTTTATTTAAGATAGCAACGAAACCTGACACCTAAATGATCAGTTGTGAGGAATGGACTACCGACATTAAGGATAGACAATCTAAGTTGAGTCAAAAGTACCCTTTGAGTTATCATGCTGGGCCCCCATTGTTTATAAATGACGGGTAGAGAAAAAGAAAACAAAATTCAAGTTTAAATTGAGAGTTAAATAAATATATCTGTCAAATAAATTAAATACCGTTATGATTTTTCTCCATTTGTTTGATATTTTAGAATGGAATGAAGATTAGATAGGAATAAAATGGAATGGATGGAATGGAATGAAGATTATGATAGGGATTGAATGGGAGGGAATGGATTGGAGATTAGATAGGAATAAAATGGAATGGGATGGAATGGAATGAAGATTATGATAGGGATGGATGGGAGGGAATGGATTGGAGATTAGATAGGAATAAAATGGAATGGAATGGAATAAAATGGAATGGAATGGAATGAAGATTATGATAGGGATGGGAGGGAATGGATTGGAGATTAATAGGAATAAAATGGAATGGGATGGGATGGGATGGGATGGGATGGGATGGGATGGGATGGGATAGAATGGAATGAAGATTAGGATAGGAATGGAATGGAATGGAATGGAATGGAATGGAATGGAATGGAGATTAGATAGGAATAAAATGGGATGGGATGGGATGAAGATTAGGATAGGAATAAAATGGAATGGAGATTAGATAGGAATAAAATGGAATGGAATGGAATGAAGATTAGGATAGGGATGGGATGGGATGGGATGGGATGGAATGACGATTAGGATAGGAATGGAATGGGATGGAGATTAGATAGGAATAAAATGGAATGGAATGAAGATTAGGATAGGAATGGGATGGAGATTAGATAGGAATAAAATGGAATGGGATGGAATGAAGATTAGGATAGGAATGAGATGGGATGCAATGGAATGGAAGATAAAATAGAACAGAACAGAACAGAACAGAATTCTTTATTGGCCAAATACAGTTGTACACACAAGGAATTTTTTCCTCCAATCGCATCAAGAATTTGGAGGCACCCCAGAGAAAGACAAATTGTCTTTGGCTGCTTGGAAATAGGACACATCTCTTACTTTTATTTGGAAATCCTTTTTTTCTGAAGTCATGATTAAAATGCATTGAGTGTTTTAATTGATCTTGCTCCTCTTAGGAAACCCTGTACTAAGGTTATGCATGACAAAAGACATTGAAAGAGACTTCCAATATGAATTGTTGTCGGGAAAGAAAAAGAGGGAGGCAGTTACTAAAGTGGGGGGATTGGAATCGTTAAATAATAGAGCGAGCGGAAGAGAAAGAGGGAATCAATCTGATTTTGGCTTAATGGCACTAAGTATGGAGGCCAGAGCATAAACTGAAGGAATTTGTGGAAGAATTTAAAGGAAATATACAGGATGCTTATTTTCTTTGCCTTTGAGTTGAGCTGGCTTGACTGGGCCTTTTCTTTCTTCAAGGGAAGAAGCAATGTTGTCGACCTATTTTGAGACCATCAACGACCTACTCTCGTCCTTTGGACCCGTTCGGGATTGTTCTCACAATAACGGAGGCTGTACCCGCAACTTCAAATGTGTATCGGACCGTCAAGTGGACTCAACCGGTTGTGTGGTAGGTACAACTTTTGACTCCAGGGAAGGTGGATGCCTTGGATTGGGTTCCAAAAAGATGCTTCAGAGAGTCTGAGAATTCAGACCTTCTCTTCATCTGCAGCTCCTTGAAGGAGACATAATCTTCTCTGTCTCTGTGTGTCTCTGTCTCTCTCTCTCGCTCTATGTCTCTCTCCATCTGTCTCTCTTTTTTTCTGTCTCTCTGTCTCTGTCTCTCTCTCTCTCTCTCTCTCTCTCTCTCTCTTTCTCTCTGTCTCTGTTTCTCTCTCTCTTCAGAGGGTCTGAGAATTCAGACCTTCTCTTCATCTGCAGCTCCTTGAAGGAGACATAATCTTCTCTGCCTCTCTCTATGTCTCTCTCTCTCTCTCTCTCTCTCTCTCTCTCTCTCTCTCTCTCTCTCTCTCTCTCTCTCTCTCTCTCTCTCTCTCTCTCTCATGTTCAACTTGTGGTTTATTATGTCATTTTTGAGGAATCCTAGTCATGGTGTTCAAAACCCATCTTCCCTTCTGATTCTAATGAAATGGCTATTATGCTTCCAGGTTTATCTCTCTCTAAATATAATCCTTTGCTTTTCTTTTTTGCGCACAGCATGTGAGGTCGTTGTATTAATTTACTTGAGTGAAAGCAAACTGGATTTATTTGGGATATCATATACCTTGCAGTATTTCATTCCTCCTCTCCTCCTCCTCCTCCTCCACCTCCTCCTCCTCCTCCTCCTCCTCCTCCTCTTCCTCCTCCTCTTCCTCCTCCTCCTCTTTTTCTCCTCCTCC